CCAGAAAGAAAGGAAAGGGGGGAAAAGGGGAAGAAAGCAACCGTGAGTACTCATCCAAAGTACTCGCAAGCAAGGAGCTACACTACATATGCATGGGTATCAAATGGAATAAGGGTATCATATGTGGACTGAACTGCAGAATGCCAGAATAAGAGGGGGATAACTAATCCTGTCGAAGACTACGCTTCTGGCCACCTCCATCTTGCAGCATGTAGGAGAGAGTAGATGGTAAGTTCACCAAGTAGCAACAAGTAGCATCGTATAGCATAATCCTAACCGATGATCCTCAGGCCCACCACTACCTGGATGGAGCCACCTGCCCCTTCAGCCCCCATCTCCGAACATTATCATAAGTAATGTAACAGTATAAGTATATATCATATGCCCGTGATCACCTCCCGAGGTGATCACGGCCCAGTAGTATAGCATGGCAGACGGACAAGAGTGTAGGGCCACTGATGGAACACTAGCATCCTATACTAAGCATTTAGGATTGCAGGTAAAGGTAACAAATAGTAGTAGCAAGGACAGGCTATGCATCAGGATAGGATAACGAAAAGCAGTAATATGCTACACTACTCTAATGCAAGAAGTAGAGAGAAGAATAGGTGGTATCTGGTGATCAAAGAGGGGGCTTTCCTGGTCGCTCTGGCAAGAGAGAGGGGTCGTCAACACCGTAGTCGTACTGGGTAGCAGCGGCGTCGGTCTCGGTGTCTACCGGAGAGAAGAGGGGGAAGAAATAATAAATACGAAGCAAACAAAGCATCACAAAACATAACGAGGTAATACACGGTGCCAGGGGCGATCTAACGTAGGGATAGGTGATACCGGTGAAGGGGGGGAAACATCCGGGAAAATATCCCCGGTGTTTCGCGTTTTCGCACAAATGAATTAGAGGAGAAAAGTTGCGTGTTCGCTATGCTAGGGATGCGTGGTGGACGAACGGGCCGCATATTCAGATTTGTCTCGTTTTTCTGAGCAACTTTCATGTATAAAACTTTTTCATCCGAGTTACAGATTATTTTCTAAGATTTTTCAAAGATTTAAACAATTTTTTGAAATATATTAATTCGAATTAAGAAAAAAGTAAATAGTTTTGTCACCTAAAGCTACGCTAGCTAGAGCGTATTACAGGTGGGGCCAGGGGGTTAGTCAGCAGTTGACCAGTCAAGGTTGACTAATCAACAGGGTCATAGCGGGGCCCAAGTGTCATAGGGTCATTTGCATAGCAGATTAGTTAATTAGTCTAAATAGTGGAGGGGCCCCTAAGTCATATTCTACATAGCATCTAGACTTAGTACCAATACCTGTTTTGGGTTAGTTATTAAATAAGACTAATCCTAATCTATGGCCGGCCATTTAGTAGTGGCCCATCCGGCCAGAAACACAAAGCACGCACACACAACAAGCAATCGGCCATGGCCAGTGGTGGCTGTATACACACACACACACAATACTAGTTGTAAGAGAAGATGGCATTTTGTGATTTTTTAGGATTTAATCCATGCATCGAAAAGATTTAGTCCAGTGGGATAAAATGGAGTTTGTCAAGTATACTTTCTACTTATATTATTTTTACCCATTTTAACTGCTGTTTAGTCGTTGTTTAGAGGCTGTACGGAGGGTCAGACAATGTCAATTTAGAAAAGCTAGCACTAGCTACAGTAACTGAATGTTACTGTAGCCGCGTAGCATAGCAGCAGGCACCTGCGGGAGCAGGAAAGCAGCAGCGAAGCGAGCGGCGTGCACGGGGCCGCGCATGTCGGGCGCAGGGCGGGACGGACGCGGGGCGTGGGTGTGCGCCGGAGACGAGCTGCGGCGCCTGCAAAGGACAGCCAAGGCAGGGCGCGGGGAGCGGGGCTGCACGGCAAGGCCGGTCAGGGCCAGACGCAGCGGTGGGCAGCAGAGCATCGCCCAGCGGCAGCGGCAAGTAGTACAGCAGGCGGAGCTGCAGCGAGCAGCACGGGCGCCTGGTGCGTGCGGCGGGCGGGCGCAGGAGCTCAGGCGAGCAGCAAGCCGCGGCGTGAGCAGCAATGGAGGCCAGGGGCGTTGGGCGCGGGCGGCACGGTCGCGGCGACTACGGGCACGATCAAGGGCAGGGCTGGTGCGTGCGGGCGTGGTGACGCGCGTGTGGCGGGTCGGCGAGAGCCGTATGGGGCGGCGTTGGAGCAGTAGCAGGCGAAGTAGCACTAGACCACGGCGAGGCTGGCGCGCGTGCATAGAAGCAGTCACAGCACGCACGCACGTACGCGTACGCGGCAGCTCGGACGAGCTCGGGGACGGCGGCCTACGGCGCAAGAACGGGAGGGGAGAGGATGTGCTCACCGAGCAGGCACAAGGAGGCCCGTCGAGTGGCTTAGGAGCAGCAGAGGTGGCCGGTGTTGGCGACGGCGGCGGCGACCGAGACGGATGGAGGTTGAGGACGGGGAAGCAGCGGGCGTCCCGGTGGCTTCCGGCTCGATCTCGACCATGTAGTCGAAGTAGGCGACGAAGACGGTGCCCCTGGCGCGGTCTCTGGCAGCGAGGAGGCCATCGGTGACGGCTGCCGACGACGCGTCCATGGCGGAGATCAGGAAGGAGGGGGGTCTAAGGAGGGAGGCAGGGCGCAGTAGAGAGGAAGAAGGGAGCGAGCGAGTGGGGGGGATAGGATTGAGGAGTCGGGGCGTGGCGCCCTTATCTCCTCGTCGGCGTGGCCGGCGAGGTGGTCGGGCGGGAGCACGTCCCTGTTGCGGTTTGAGACCGAGGAACAGGAGAGGGGCAACCGGTGCGGGGGGGAATTGGGATGGATGGGTAGGAGTGGGCCGAGGCCCGGGAGCCAGGGGTTGTCTTATATTTATCTTTGTTTTCTTTTTATTTAATTTTTTTGTTTCTGTTTTCTTTTTATTTACACATTAATTTTAGTTTAGTAAAATATGACAATAGCCCCTAAAGCAATGTTTCAGAATAAACGACTGCCATGAAAAGTTTTTACCCTGAATTAAAATAGTTTAGCAATTTATAAAATACCAAAGGCATTTATATAATTGATTTTTCTACTGTTTAAATCACTTTAGAGTATTTGAACATTTAAAAAAAAGTGTAGTTCCTCCGCCATAATTACCTATGCATTATTTGGCTCACTCTGAATATTTTAATTTTAATATTTGAAAACTTTTATTGTTTGCCTTTAATTAAAATTTGAATTTGAATCGTTTCGAACTAACATGAGTTTATTAACAGAAATCAAGGTGACGTGGCACCATTAGCAAGGGTTTACTGTAGCTTGATTATCCGGGCGTTACAGTAGTCTTTTTCTTCCTTCCTCGATCTCTTTCTTCGTTTCCCACTCGTCGGCGCACCAGAGCCACACGAACAACACGCACGAGAGAAACCCCCCCCCCCCTGACCCCCCCAATGCCGATGACCTCGCCGACTCGCCATCCTCGCCCCCGGAAAGCCGCAGTTCCAGGAGCCCACCCATGGTTGCAGCAAACATCCTGCGCCGGTGGAAGCTTCCATGGTTGCGCGTTGCAGCAAAAAAAGTGTGCGCCATCGTCGCTTGGTTGCAGCAAAAACAAGTCGTGCATCATCACCCTCCCCCCTCGCCCTCGCCACACTTCATTGTCGTGGTTGTAGCAAATCTGAGTTCTGGTTGTAGCAAAAAATGCATCACCGTCGCAGTCGGCCAAATTTCGTTATCGCTCCCGCTATTGTCACCGCATAAAACACTTCCATGATGCAGCAAAAGTGGATGTTGGTTCCAGCCTTCGGCTTTGCTGATTGTAGCAATTTCTGATGCTGGTTGAACAGGACGCATGACGCCAGTTGTAGCAAAAAAGTGCGACGACCATGCGATGTAGCAAAACAGGGCACCGGTTGTAGTCGGATGGGGCGCCGGTTGTAGCAATTCACGACACCCGTTGTAGCATGTAGAAAAAATATGATGGTTCGTGCGATGTAACAAAATGCAACACCGGTTGTAGCTGAGTGGGGTGCCGGTTTGTAGCAAAAGGTGACACCAGTTGTAGCATGTAACAAAAAACGTGACGTCTGCAGTGTTGCTCGGGATAGAGCCACCATCCTCGCAGCCCGCGGTCGCCATGGTCGCGCGTCCATGATGGCAGCTCTCATGGGCACCCGTTGCAGCAGTCCACGATGCAGTCCCAGC